GTGACCCAAAAAGCAAAAAAAAATGGCACTGGACTTTCTCCTCAGATGGGACCCAGTGAGGGGGAGAGGAGCACCTTGGGACCCTCTTCGAGAGATTCTGCGCCTGCACAGCAAATACCACACACCACACACATGCACGTGGACATAAAACCACATAACATGTATGACACACGTTACATACCACACGCACTATGCACATGTATATACACCACACGTACATACAACATATATGACACACGTTATACACCCGATACACCATACACGTGTATATGCACCCCCCACACACAACACATATGCCACACACCGTACACACCATTCATACGCCACACCACACACACACACACCACGTACACACACCGTGTCCGCCACATACACACCACAGAACTGTCCACACGTCACACATGTCATGCCAGGCCACGTGCACTCTCCACACACACCAACATACAAACACCGCACCCACACCTGTGCTACATACGGACGACACCATTACACATCCCCAAACACGCCATAGACACACACTGTCCACACAGCACACGCATGAACCAAGCATAGCATATCCGTGCCACATACCTCCAGCACACGCAGCCCACACACATTCCACAGCTCGCCAGGCAGTGCGCCAGGTCCGGAGCCTGCTGGGACCCTCCCCGGTGACCCCACAGTCCCTGCCCGCCAGAGACCGGCCGCACCCGGCTGGCCGGGGCCCAGGAGGCTTCTCCTAAGTGGGTTATGCAAATGGCGGCTCTTGGTGCCAGCCCGGCTCCCGGGGAGGGGAGGACCAGGGCGCAGGTGCGGGACCCCAGAGCACTGCGGCAGCACCCGGGGCTCGCTGGAACCGCAGGGACCCCTCAACTTGTTTGCCTGATTGGTTTTGGTTAGGGGGCCACATCCGCGATTATCAGGGATTTACTCCGGGTGGGCTCGGGGGTGTTGGGCATTGAACCTGGGTTGGCTGCGTGCCAGGCAGTCTCCCTCCCCACCGTCCTGACACTCCAGCACAGACCCAGGTGACCTCGTTCAAACCTGGCTCCCAACTTGTCACCTGTGTGACCTTGGGCAAATTACTGAACCTCTCTGAGCCCATTTCTCCGCCCCCATCCAGGGCTGCGGGTCGTTGGGAGTGAATGGAAGCTCGTCCAGCCCCGGAAGGTGCGGCCTGGCCTCCCTCCGCTGCCACTGCTCTTGGGCGCGTCCCCACACGCCTACATCACCCAGCGCCTGAGGACAGGGCCGGCGCGGGAGAGGATGGAGCCCACAGCCTGGGTGTCCAGCTGGCGTGATTGATCTGGGCTCGGGCCTCAAGGCTGGCCAGGGGGACGATCAGGCAGATGCTCAAAGTCACCAGGACGCCTTCCTGCGGCAATCCTGGAGGCCCCGAGGAGGGTCTGGGCGGCATGAAGAGGCCCGGGGTGGCCTGTGGGAACGGGGGGCCGAGAGGAGGCCTGGCCGGCCGGGTACAGCCCCCCCTGTGGACTCGGGGTCCTTGTGGCTCTGCTCGGAGATTGAATGAGCTCCGCTGAGTCCCAAACCAAAGTCACCAGACTCCGAGTCAGTCGTGACGCCCAGCACCACGGGCTGCCCTGGAGAGCACGGTGGGTGAGGGTCTTTCTCCTGGGGGCGGGGAGACTGTAATGCGCAGGGCCACAGGGTGCCAGGATGGAACTAAACATGCATTACCCGGCTGTGGTGCCGGCTCCCGGGCCCCTGGAATTTGGGGTGTGGAGCCCCTAAACTGTGCAGAGTGGTGGGGCCCCTCCCAGAATGACTCAGCCAAGCCCGCAGACTTTCGGGAGCCGGGGTGCCCCCTAGGATACCCTGGTACTTTCACCGGGCCCTGGGGCCCCCGGGGTCTACCTGCCCTGCTGGGGGTGTGGGACAGGCTCAGACACACGGCCCGTGGACGTGTGAGGCGTGTGTGCCATCCCTGGGCACTCCCAGATCTCAGAGCAGATCGTTTTGTTAATTTTATTTTATTTCACTTTATTAGTTTTGGCTTTTTGGGTCACACCTGGCGGTGCTGGGACTCAAACGCGGGTCAGCTGTGTGCAAGGGTGGGGGGAGCCTTTCTCAATGTACTATCGCTCTCGTCCTTATTTTTTATTTTTCTGTTTTTTTTTTCTTTATGGGTCACACCTGGCAATGCTCAGGGGTTACTCCTGACTCTGAACTCAGGAATTACTCCTGGCGGAGTAATCAAACTCGGAATCAAACTCAGGTCGGCCGTGTGCAAGGCAAACCCCCACCCGCTGTGCTATCGCTCCAGCCCCTTGCTTTTCCGAGCCCTGCACATCCCACTTTTTTTTCTTTTTGGGTCACACCTGGCGGTGCTCAGGGGTTACTCCTGGCTCTGCACTCAGGAATCACTCCTGGCGGTGCTCGGGGGACCCTATGGGATGCTGGGAATCGAACCGAGGTCGGCCGTGTGCAAGGCAGACGCCCTCCCCACTGTGCTATCGCGCCCCAGCCCCTATTTTTTTGGTTTTGGGTCAACACCCAGTGATGCTCAGTGCTTACTCCTGACTCTGTGCTCAGGGATCACTCCTGGTGTGCTCAGGGGACCATATGGGTTGCCGGGGATCGATCCCAGGTTGGCTGCTTGCAAGGCTAACGCCCTGCCCACTGTGCTATGGCTCTGGCCCAAGACCGTCACAGTTTCATTGGCATTTTATGTGTTGGGGGACAAGCGGCACACGCGACTCCATGCTCGGGACCGTAGGTGGCGGTGCCTGGGGGACCACACGTGGTTCTGGGACTCGAACCGTGGCTGCGGCCACAGCACAGGCAAGCATCTCCACCGCCGCTCTCTCTCTCTCTCTCTCTCTCTCTCTCTCTCTCTCTCTTTGTCCTATGCGTGTTTTGGTTTTGTGGCATTAAATTTATTTATTTATTTATTTATTTTGCTTTCCTGGCTCTGCACTCAGGAGTTACTCCTGGCGGTGCTCAGGGGACCATATGGGATGCTGGGAATCGAACCTGGGTCGGCCGCGTGCAAGGCAAACGCCCTACCCGCTGTGCTATCTCTCCAGCCCCTAAATTAATTTTTTTAAGGCGATGTGTTTTGTTTGGTTTCTGGTTTGCTCCTGGAGCTTAGGGCTCGCTCCCAGCCCTGCGCTCAGGGATCACGCCTGGCGCCCTCAGGAGACCCTGTGGGATGCCGGGAATGGAACCCCGGTTGGCCACGTGCAAAGCAAACGCACTCCCGCAAACTGTCTATTGCCCGGACCCCAGTTGCATTTTTTTTTGTTTTTATGCAACCGGGGAGGAATGTGGCCAGGCCCCATGGACCTGGCGATTTAGGGGGGACCCCCCCCACGCTCCCCGAGACAGACTGGCATTCCCTCCAGGCACTTGAGGTCGAGGGGGGTATGTGAGCATTGGACAGGCCAGCTGTGCCCGCCTCACGGTCCCCGCACGGTGCCGCTGCGCCAGCCTCCCTGGCGCTCAGCACTTTGCTCAGGTCACTGCATCCCCCTCAGCCCCCGCCCATGGCCATGGGGGAGGAGAACGTCCTGGACCCCGTGGGCAGCACCGCTCCCTGCCGCCGTCCTTGGGCCGGGGAACGGGAGGTGGCAGGAGCCGGGGTGCAAAGGGAGACCGTCCGCGGCAGCCCCTCGCTGTGACCTGGTGGGAACAGCATCCTGCGCGTTGGCCCGGGACCACTGTCAGGGGGCCACTGTCGCACATGCCCAGCCGGGGCACTCAGTCTGGCCCCTGCCTGGACCCCCTCCTGGGGCAGCGCTGGAGCGGTCCCTGGCTTCCTTCCGCCCCTTCTAGCTGTCTGCTCTGCTTCTGCAGGACAGGAGGGTGCGACTTTATGGGCCCCCCCAGAATATTTGGGGCCCAGGGCTGGACCTCACGAGAGGGGCGTCCTGTAAGTGGGGAGCTGCCGGGTGCTTCTCTTGCCCCCCGAGACCCCAGACCCTTCCCAGGAGCAGGACCTTAGGGGGGATCCTGGGGCGCGTGGCCCGGGCCCTGGGGAAGGCGGGCAGGGGCGCTGGGAGAGGGGAGCAGGGATGGGGTGGGGGCAGCCCCGCTCCCCTGTCACCCCCACCCACCCCATCTCCTCTCCGGCAGCCACACTGGGCATGTTGGTGGCTTCCGTCTTCCCCAGCTCTGCCCCACCCTGCCCCAGGCCACCGTCCAGCACTGGAGGGACCAGCCGCCCTCTGCAGGGGCGCCCCCGACCATCCCTGCGTGCTCTGAGGCTGGGCCCCCCACCCCGCAACCCCCACCCCGCAACCCCACCTGGCTCCCTCTCTGCCGTCCCCTTCCCCCACGGCTTTGTGGGACAGAAAACAACTGAGGGGCTGGGGATACTCATCTGCCCCTGCCGCTGCCGGCTGTGAGCCCCCCACTGCCCTGGTCAGCCCCTCCCCCTCCTCCCCTCCCTCCTGTCCTCCCCCCTCCCCACCTCACCGCCCCACCCCCTGGCCCCCCAGCCCCTCCGCAGCTCCCCCGGCCTGCTCCCGGAGCCCCCGCCAGCCGGGCCTCTCCATCTTAATTAGCTGCTTGTATTAATCTCACAAGTAACGTGGCAACTTACAGCCCCGGGTGCTCTCGGGCTGCGGAATTAATTATTCCCCCGAGCGCGGTGCTGTCAGCGGGTGGCCCCAAGGACCCGATCGACTCCACTTAGCGGAGCCACAGCTGTGCGGGCCGCCCTTGCCCCGCTAACACAGGGGGCCGAGGCCCCGGGCAGCCCCACCAGGGCCAGGAGCGCCCGGTCCGCTCTCCCCGGTCCCCACGCAAACAGGCAGTGTCCGTGGGGAGGGAGGGGCCAGCCGCACAGCCCAGCCAGAGCCGAGTGCCCCTCTTGCCCTTGGCTTTGGAGACATGAGGGGAAACTGAGGCCCAGAGCAGCGGCGCTCCAGTCCCTGCTGTGTGGAACGGGATCTCGTCCCCCCAGCACCCCAGAAGGCACTTCCTGTCCCCCCCAGACCCCCTCCCCACCGTCCCCCAGACATGCCTCACTGACCCCTCTCTCTCTCTCTCTCTTGCAGCCAACAGCTCTCTGCTCGGAGGCGGCGGTGGTGAGTGACCCCTGAGGTTGGGGTGCGGGCTGGGGGTTTTCTGACACATGTGCCGTGGCCCTCGCCCCCCATTTCCTTCCCACCCCCACCCCACGCAGCCAGCCTCCCCCCACCACCACGTGATTCAGCAGGCGACACCTTCCTCCCGGCCTGCAGCGAGGCTAATGGGGTTCCCTGAGGGTTAAACGGGCTCAGAGCCCGGAAGGTCTAGCAGGAAGGCGCCCGCCTCATGCACAGCTGACCCTGGCTGCATCCCCACACACAGGGTCCCCAGAGCCCCGCCAGGGGTCACTGCAGGGCGCAGGGCTTGGAATAACCACTGAGCACTGTTTTCAGGGAAGAAATGGCACAACCCTCAAAAAAAAAGGGGGGGAAAAAGCAATAAAAATTTTAGAGACGGGACTGGAGCAATAGCACAACAGGGAGGGCGTTTGCCTTGCAGGCGGCCAACCCAGGTTCAGTCCCCGCCATCCCATATGATTCCCCAGCACCACCAGGAGTCATTCCTGAGTGCAGAGCCAGGAGTAACCCCTGAGCATCGCTGGGTGTGACCCAAAAAGCAATAATAATAATTATTATTATTATTATTATTTAGGGGTGAGTTTGATTCCTCCGCCCCTCTCGGAGAGCCTGGCAAGCTACTGAGAGTATCTCACCCGCACGGCAAAGCCTGGCAAGCTACCTGTGACGTATTTGATATGCCAAACACAGTAACAACTAAAAAGTCTCACACTGGAGACGTTACTGGGCCCGCTCGAGAAAATTGATGAACAACGGGAGGACAGTGACAGTGATTATTTAGGGCTAGGAGAGATAATACAGTGGGGAGGGCCTTGAATGTGGCCGACCTGGGTTCGGATCTCCAGCATCCCATATGGTCCCCCCAAGCACTGCGCGGAGTGACCCCTGAGCACAGAGCCTGGCCGGGGTGACCCAAAAGTAAAAACAAAAATAAATTGTTTTAAATAAAATGAAAGGGAGCAGGGGCCGGAGCCAGTAATACAGTGGGCAGGGCACTTGCCTTGAACGTGGCCGACCTGGGTTTGCTCCCCGGCATCCCGTATGAGACCCCCAGCCTCGCCAGGACTAATCCCTAAGTTTCGAGTCGGGAGTAACCCCTGAGCATCGCCAGGTTTGTCCTCGAAACAAAACAAACAAAAAAAAGAAAGTGGCCTAGGGCCAGAACGATAGCATAGCAGGTAGGGTGTGTGCCTTGTGGCTGACCCAGGTTCGATTCCCAGCAACCCATATGGTCCCCTGAGCACTGCCAGGAATTTCTGAGTGCAAAGCCAGGAGTAACCCCTGATCATCGCTGGGTGTGACCGAAAAAGCAAAAGAAAAGAAAGACAGTGGTGAAAGTGTGCGGGGAGAGTGACCCTGGCGTCCTCAGACACGCCATGCCCCGAGACAGCCAGAGCACGGCGGTGACATCAGGGCTCATTTGAAGTTAAGCCCCAAGAGTGCTGACATGGGGCTGGAGTGATAGCACAGTGGGTAGGGCGTTTGCCTTGCACCTGGCCAACCTGGGTTTGATCCCTGGCATCCCTTATGGTCCCCCAAGCACTGCCAGGAGTAATTCCTGAGTGCGGAGCCAGGAGTAACCCCTGTGCATCACCGGGTAAGGTAAAGGGAAAAGGTAAAGGCCCTCCCGTTGATCGTCGATTTGCTTGAGCGGGCCCAGTAACGTCTCCATTGGAGACTTTGTTGTTACTGTGTCTGGCATATCGAATACTCTCGGTAGCTTGCCGGGCTCTCCGAGAGGGGCGGAGGAATCGAACTCGGGTCGGCCATGTTGGCCGCTTGTAAGGCGAACGCCCTACCACTGTGCTATCGCTCCAGCATCACCGGGTGTGACCCAAAAAGCCAAAAAAAAAAAAACAAACACCAGAATGCTGGCGTGTTAATGTCGGGGCTTTTTTTTCCTGCTTCCCCAGCACTTCTCAGGGGACCTGGAAGCTACGCCCCACCCAGTACCCTGCCCCATGGGGACCCGGCTGCCAGCTCAGTGCTCAGGCAGGCCCAGCAGTGCTCGGTGGCAGGGATCGAACTTAGGGCCCTCAGGCGCGCACCTGGCGCCTCTCCAGCCTCTGAGCCTCTCCCGGCCCTGGCGATTGTGAGCAGCCACGAAACGGGTGCAGGGGGTGGGTGGGTGGGGGCGGTCAGCGTTTGGGGCAAACTCTGCAGCGAAGCAGACACGCCCCCCCTGATGTGTGCCCTGGCCAGCCCCGCCCGGGGGCCCGGCCCGCTTGGCAGCGCTGCCCGCTGTCAGAGGCGGTTGATTGGTGAGGCGGGGGGCAGGGGTTAATGCGCTGTGGGATAAATCCCGGGGCCCTGTTTACTCAGCGCTGGCGGGGCGCAGGCCAGGTTTTAAAAGGGGGAAGAATAAGCAGGGCCGCAAAGGTCTGGAGTAAGTGAGAGCCGCTAAGAGCCTGCGGTGACCAGTGGCAGCGGGGGGGGCTGTTTGCGGCTGCAACTGGCTCCCCCCCATTCTCCCCACCACCGTAGAGGTCACAGCCACATCCCCAAAGGGGGGGCGTGCGGGGGTCCCCCGGAGACATCACACATTGGGGAGGCACTTGCCTTGCACGCGGCTGACCTGGGTTCCATCCCCGGCACCCCAGAGGGTTCCTTGAGTGAGCCAGGACTGAGCCCTGAGTGTCGCCAAGTGTGGCCCCAAAATAACAGCATCAGTGTAAAGAATGGGGGTGTGGGGGCCGGAGCAATAGCACAGCGGGGAGGGTGTTTGCCCTGCACGCGGCCGACCTGGGTTCGATCCCTGGCATCCCATATGGTCCCCCAAGCACCATCAGGAGTAATTCCTTTTTTTTGATTTTTATTCTTTTTTTGCTTCGTGGATCACACCCGGTGATGCACAGGGGTTACTCCTGGCTCTTCACTCAGAAATTACTCCTGGGGCTGGAGCGATAGCACAGTGGGTAGGGCGTTTGCCTTGCATGTGGCCGACCCAGGTTCGATTCCCAGCATCCCATATGGTCCCCTGAGCACCGCCAGGAGTAATTCCTGAGCGCAGAGCCAGGAGTAACCCCTGTGCATCGCCAGGTGTGACCCAAAAATAAAAGCAAAAAAAAAAACAAATTACTCCTGCGGATCTCGGGGACCATATGGGATGCTGGGAATCGAACCCGGGTCGGCCGCATGCAAGGCAAACGCCCTACCCCCTGTGCTATCACTCCAGCCCTCCAGGAATAATTCCTGAGTGCAGAGACAGGAATAACCCCTAAATAACCCCTGAGCATTGCTGGGTGTGACCCAAAAAGCAAAAAAAAAAAAATGAATGGGGGTGCGGACAGGTCCAGCAGGGACGCCCCGGTGGTGGACCTGGACCCTGTCCACGCCATCCTTCATCCACTCAGCCGCAGTGAGGCGGGGAGCCGGGGCCACCCCGGCCCAGAGGGGGGTCCTCTCTGGGGGGGCTCAGTGAGGAGCCCTGGACGGGCATGAGGGAAGCTTCTGGAAAGACACAGGCCCTGGGCCGGGTCAGAGCTGGAACAGTGGGATGGGGGCCTGGAGGAAGAGGAGTAAGGGACGGAGGGGATGGGGGGGCGGGGGGCCAGGTGGAAGCTAGAGACAGGGGGGCGTGGAGCAGTGGCCGCTACTGCCCACAGCCTGCCCAGGGCCCCCCTGACTCAGAGCTCCACCAGGGGCCTCCCCGGCCCACACCGGGTGCCCCTCAGACCTGCTGCCACTTCCCCCTCGCCCAGGTCCCTCCCCCTGTGCCCCCCACCCCACTGTGTCCCTGCGGCTGGACGCGGTGGCCCTGAGCGCCCGGCATGGTGGGGATATGGCTCCGTCAGGGCCCGGGACCTGCATGTGACGTGGTCGGGACCTTGGGGACACCCAAGAGTCACCCCAGACAGCCACCTGCCCCGCACATGGAGACAGGGAGACGGGGGGGGCCGGGCCCGGGAGGAAGTGGTCCCCGAGGCCGGCCTCCTGGAACTAGGCAGAGTTCACGGAGCTGTGAGAGCTCCCAGGGGCTGTCACGGGCCTAACGTGACCGTGACCGGGCTGCCTGGGAGACCCACCCCAGACTCTGGAGGACCTCTGACCCCTGTCGCCCTCATCCCATGCATCCGACATTCATCCCCGACCTGACTGAGTGGGGGGCTGTGTCCCCACCCTGTGTAACATGCGGCCCCCAGGCTCCTCCCCACATTATTCGCCCCCCGCCATCCCCCCGACCCCCACGCCCCCCCAGCCCCATTCTCCTGCCCACCCCCTGCACTGTGCGACCCTCTGCATTGAGCCCACACATACTTTGCTTTTTTGGGGGGACCCACACTTGGAGGTGCTTGGGAGTGAGCCCTGGTGTTGGTGCTGGGGTTTGACCCCGTATGGGGCAGATGCGAGGAGGCACCAGACCCCCCATCGCACTCTGCGCCCCCAGACTGTGCTGCCTCTCTGTTCAGGGGCGTTAGCTGCACCCCATGACTGGCCCTGCAAGGGAGACGGACAGGCAGGAGGAGAGTGGGGGCATCTAGGAGGGGTCTGGCCCGTGAGTTCCAGTCTGCAGCCCCCTGTGTCCAGTGGGAGAAAAGTGCAGTTTTGGGGGGACAGGGAAGGGAGTGTGGGGTGCGCTCGACCTCGGTGTGGCTCCCAGGGGTGCTGACAGGCACCCCAGGGTCCAGGCCTTCTGCTTACCTCAACACTCTCCACAAAACTCTGAGGCCAGACATGATTCTGGCCCCACAATGTGCCTTGAGGGACCTTTTTATCCCCTTCCCTTCCCTGGGCTCAGGGTGGGGGTTATACTTGTCCCTGAGTCCTAACTCAGGGTTTGGTGCCAGGCCCGGAGAGACCCAGCTTGCTTAGAAACCTCCGTGCACCGTAGGGGCATTTGACTTGGGCTCTGAAGGTCGAATAGGAGTTCAGCAGGTGCAGAGGCACTGAGCAGGTCCAGGGCCCGTGGTGGAGAGACGTCAGGGGCCACGCCCTAGACCTGGGTCCCCCCCAGAGCCCCTTCCTGCCTGTTATTGGCCACCGGGGAGACATTGCAAACCACTCCCTCACTGTTTGGTGAGCGGGAGTTGCGCCCTAAATCAGGGGCTGACAGGGCCTGCCCCAGCCCTTCCCGGTGACCAGGCCTGAAACGTTTCCCCGCCTGAGCCGCGGCTGCTTGCCGAGATTTGTGCGCGTTTTTTCAATTACCCCTTGTCTTTCTCTGCCACTGTTGCACTAAAGGGATAATAAATGTACCCGAGCGTTTCAATTATTCATCTAAATCATGGCCGCGCCCGCCGCAGCCACACTGGAGTGACACGTTAATTCAGGCCCATCAGGGCTGCCCCCCCTCCCCAGCTCTCCCCGCCAGCCAGCACCACCAGCCCCCCCGCGGTCATGGGCTCTGTGCGGCCACTCAGGGCCTGGCACCTCCTCAGCTGCTGACCCCCGTGGTCAGTGGGGCATTGCATACCATCAGATGCCCCGGTGGGCGAGTCCTGGAGGCCCACCCTGGCCTGCACCCGGCCAGCTCCCAATGCAGCCCTCCGGGGGCTGGAGCGATAGCACAGCAGGTAGGGCGTTTGCCTTGCATGCAGCTGACCCGGGTTCGATTCCCAGCATCCCATATGGTCCCCTGAGCACCGCCAGGAGTAATTCCTGAGTGCAGAGCCAGGAGTAACCCCTGTGCATTGCCGGTTGTGACCCAAAAAGCAAAAAAAACAAACAAACAAAAAACCCAACACAACCCTCCAACCCTGTCTCTCCGTGGCTGTCTCTGCATCTCTCGTCTCTGTCTCCATTTCTGTGTCAACGCGGAATCCGTCTCCTGCCTCCCTTGTGCCTTTGCTCTTCCTGTCTTTGGGGGCAGTTCCTTCTCTTTCTCCCCTCCCCCCAGCCCCTCTTTCCCTCTCTGCCCCCCCATCCTCCACCTCTGCCCCTGCTACTCTGTAATGACTTCCCCCGCACCAGCCCAGGAAAGGTTCCAGAAGGTTCTGCTCTCTGCTTCCCCAAGCTGTGACCCAGGGACAGACACTGTGACCCCCACAGAGGAAGCTGGTGGCCCCAGGGAACTACCAGGCAGCCCCTAAAACATGTCCTGGTGCCGCCCTGTCCAGGCGGGGGTGGTCTGGGGAGGCTGGCGGGGAGTGGGCTGCAGTGAGGGGTCCTGCCCCCCAAACAGCTGGTCTCGGAACAAGCCTCCTCCTTTTTGTCCTCCAGGCTCTGCTCAGATGCCGCCTCCTCCAGGCGGCCTTCCCGGCCTGGACCCAGCGCCCACGCCCCCCTCCCCCAGCCCAGCTCTGTCACCTCTTTCTCAGGACTGTGATGTCCCTCCCCCATTGGCATTGTGGGGGGGGTCCCCTACCATCACTCAGTGGGAGCTGCAGGCTGCCCAGGTCTGGCTCAGGCTTGAGACTTTTTCCCGGGGTCTCAGTGCCCAGCTGATTATGGTGGGACACACGTATGGGGCCATGGGTGCGGCTCCATTTCACGGATGGGGTCACTGAGGCCCCGAGCAGTGGCTGGTCAGGGCACCGGGGCCAGGCGTGGGGAGGCCGCTGGCCCCATAGCAGCTGCTGCGGGGAGTCTAATACCGGGAGTGATTTTCCGTGATGAATGGCGCTGCCTTTGTGTACGTAATGAAGCCCTAATGTTTCCAAATCCCCGTTTAAGGAGCTGCGCGCCCCGTGATGAATTTGAGATCACATCGCGGTGCTGTCTCCTATCTGTCTTCTCCGGGGCGGCCACAGCTAGAGGGGCCTGGGGAGGGGGGTGCTGATTTGGAGAGGGCCAGAAGGTGTCCCCTGGGGGCAGCAGCTGGGCCTCCCTGAGAGGGCTCCGGCCTGGGGCGCATCTGCAGCACCTTCACGGATTCTCAGTCTAGTGCTCTGCGCCGGCGGTTGGCCTTTCTCTGCAGGTGCCCTCTGAGGACCCTGGGTCACTGAAGGCCAGAGTGCAGTCCCCATCACACCCTCTGCCCTGCCCCCCTGCCTGGGGCCCCTCAGGGGCGCATCCCCTCGCACGACCGGGGTCCCAGCCTGGGGACAGAGTGTCGTCCAGCTCTGGGATCGAGGCTCGCTTCCACCCCTGTGCAAGGGGGTGATGTGTGGGGGACGCACTGGCCTCCCTGCAGTGATCTCTGAGCACTGAGCCAGGGGTAAGACTGAGCACTGCTGGGTGTGGCCCCCCCCTAAAAAAGAGGGAAAATTAAGTCATGGTGTGAGAAGATGCCAGGCCTTCGGGGGCCAGCCACTAAGCGCTCAGGCCAGATGTAGAGGTCTGTGACTCTACGGGAGGGGGGGAAACTGAGGCACAGAGGGACTGTGAGCGGGTCAGGAGGGAGCTCCACTGAACTTGTGTGAGAGGCCAGGGCCCCTGTACCCCAAGCTGCCCGTGCCCCATGCCCCCTCTCTGGGGGCCTGGCACCCGGGGACTCCGTACCCCAGCTGACTGCATCTCTGTCCCATGAGGGGGCTGGTGTGGGGTCCCCTCAGCTGGTCTCAGAGGTGACTCCAGCTCCAAGGCTCAGGGAAGCGAGGGGTCCAGCAGAGAGGGTTCTGGGGAGCAATTGGGCTGCCCCATGCCCAGTAAATAATTAATCAGCCCAGCCCAGCTTTGTTTGTTTAGTGTGAAGAATGTGCCCCATTGAGGGCGTTTATTGCTGAATAAATTTAAATATCTCATCTGCCCTTCATGAATATTACAGCACCCTAAGCTGGGGGTGGCACCCTAGGAGCCCCTGCTCCCACCTCTGGGACCCGGGGTGCACCCTCCCTGACCCCCAGACCGCTGGAATGCAGCTGGATGACCCTGACCCCCCTCCCCCTGAACAAGAGGACTGGGGGCCTCCAAGCGGGGGTAACAGCCTGTCTGGGAGCCCCTAGGACAGGGCAGACGACCCTCGCAGGAGGGGCCAGAGGCTGGGTGGAGGGGCCAGCACCCCAAACCCCGCTTGTCGGAAACGTGTCACTGTAGGAAGAGCGAGAGCAGGAGGGGCAGGCCTCACCCTCTCGGTGCCAGTTTCCTTCCTAATGCCAGGCAAGTGAGAGCAGTATCTTGGGATCTGTGATGGGCAGAGACTTGTGGGGCCCTGAGCCCCTCGCTAGAGAGGAGCCAGGAAGATGCTGGAAGGACCTGTCTCGGGCTTCATCCCCAGCACCTCTGGGTGTGGCTTCAAAACAAACAAAACAGGGGCTGGAGAGATAGCACAGGGGGTAGGGCGTTTGCCTTGCACGCGGCTGACCCGGGTTCGATTCCCAGCATCCCATATGGTCTCCTGAGCACCGCCAGGAGTAACTCCTGAGTGCAGAGCCAGGAATAACCGCTGTGCATCTCCAGGTGTGACCCAAAAAGCAAAAAAAAAAAAAAAAAAAAAAAAAAACAAAGATGGTTGAGGCCGAAACTCAACCATCCCAGCCCATCCCAGCCCAAGGAGAAGCCAGAGGCAGAGGAAGTGCGGTGCTGAGCTGGAAACTGGGTTAGAAGGAGTAGGGTGCCGAGCTGGGGGACTGGGGCGGAGGAAGTGGGCTGTGCTGAGCCGGAGACTGGGGTGCAGGGCCAGACTTGTGGTTGGCGGAGGAACGGGAGGGAGCAGGCTAGAGCCGGATGCAGAGCACCCCAGCCTAGCTCACCCACTCCCAGCCCTGGGACCCTCTCCGGGGCAAAATCCAGTGTCATTGGGCCCCTGCCAGTGGGACCGTGGCCCAGGGGGAGCCGCCCTTGGCATGTTCATGAAATGGGAATGTGAGGGGGGGAGGGGCGACCTGGTGTGTCCCCGCAGCTGGTTTTCCCCGGGAGCTGCTGGCTCGGAGCAGGGGTGTGTAGGAAGTCGGGGGATGGGGGGTGCAGAAAAACAGCTCGTACCAGTCCTCCGGCCCGGAGGAGTTGCCACCCTACTGTTCCAGAAGCATCCGTGGAGAGGGGCAAGGACTTGCCGAGCGGCGCGCCCCAACTTGACCCCTGGCGGGTACCTCGCGGCTGCTCCCGCTGGGCCGCTGCAGCCTCGCCCCTGCGCTCCCCCCACCCCCGCGCCCGAGTTGTTGATCTGCACCGGGGTCCCCAGGGCCGCCTGCGAGGTCCCTTCCGAGCCTTGTCAACAAGCCCTGGCCGGGACCCAATTAAACCCGACGCGCTAACGAGGAGGCGGCCGGGCTCGTTAAGGAGCAGGGCGACGCCCGGGACACCTGCGGCGCCGGGGCCGCACCCGGAGGTGCGCAGCAGCGGCGGATTGGTGGCACCTGGAGAGGGGCTGGGCTGCTCCCGAGACGGACCCCGCGGGCGGCGGCCAGCCCGGCCGCGCGCGCCCCCTGCCGGCCGCGGGGATCCTAGCGCCCGCCCTTCCCCCCCTCACTGGCCGCTCGCCCACAGTGGACGGCTGCATTCACCGGGCCGCTGGACCCCTGCTCACTGAGGAATGCCGGACCCTGCAGAGCTGCGGGACTGGCGAGGCCAAGATCACCTGCGGCTACCGGCTGCCTGCCAAGTGTGAGTGGGGGACACGACGTGATTGGGGGGGCTAGGGTCCATCCGGATCCCACGGGATGACAAGCGGCTGTCTCACGGGGCACCTCTCCAGCTCCAGTGCTCAGGACCGGCCTCTTGCACTTCGCGGGTGCCTGGAGCTCGGGCGGGCTGGGGTTCTGAAGGGAGGCCCCAAGGGAAGGGGCAGCCCCTTGGCCTGTCCGGAGGGCCCCCACGCCGCTGCGGGGGTCGCCAAGGCGTGGAGTTTGCTGCGGTACACAACCGTGCGTGTGCCCGGGAGGGGAGGGGAGGGCTGGAGTCCTGTCCCCTGCAGGAGCCTGGCCGGCCTGAGCCTGTTGCCCTCCCGCGGCAGATGTCATCCACACGGTGGGGCCCATCGCCCACGGCCCGCCCAACGACAGCCAGGCCGCCGAGCTCCGCAGCTGCTACCTGAGGAGCCTGGACCTGCTGTTGGAGCACCGGCTCCGCTCCGCGGTGAGCGGGTGCGGGTGGGGGCCGAAGCCCAGCCACTCGGGCTGCGGCAGAGAGTGACCCTGTTCCCCGCCTTTTTTTCTTCCCCCCGCCCCTCCCAGGCGTTCCCCTGCATCTCCACCGGCGTGTTTGGTAAGGAAGGAAAAAGGCGAGAGGGTATCAGGTAGCCGCCTGACGACGTGCAGGGCCCAAGCTGGGCTGGGGGCGTGGCCTAGCACGGAGCTGGGCGGGGCTCTGGGTGTCGGGGCGTGGCCTAGCCGGGGGCGGGGCTCTGGACGTTAGGGGCGGGGCGAGGCCTAGCCGGAGGAGCTGGGCGGGGCCCGGGATGTTAGGGGCGGGGCCCGAGCGGCCTGGGGAGCTGGTTGGCGTCTCACCGTGGTCGCCCCTACAGGATACCCGAATGAGGAGGCAGCTGACGTGGTACTGAGTGCACTGCGCGAGTGGCTGGAGCAGCACAAGGACAAGGTGAGGCCAGGCTGAGAGGTGGGGCGGCAGGACACCAGGGGCCTGGGACAAGGGTGCAGAGTGGCCCTGCTGGCCACCGTTCCTGGGCAGCTCATTTCTGCCCCAGACTTGAGGTTGGGACAGGGGGACCCAATGCATAGCTTAAGTGGCTTGTGACTTTCGTGGCTAAACAAGGGATCGGCAAGGGCCAGGGCGACAATCAGCTGGCAGGTTCGATCCCTGGCACCCTCCTAGTCCCCCAAACCGCCTGGCATGCTCCCTGAGCACCGCCAGGTGTGGTCCAAACGCGGAACCACGGCTAAGCAGCCCCCGCACAGGTGGACCGGCTGATCATCTGCGTGTTTCTGGAGAAGGACGAGAAAATCTACCAGCAGAAGCTCCCGCACTACTTCCCCGTGGGTACGTGCCCCCACCCCCACCCACCCCGCGTCCCTGCCCCTCCCCACCCCGGGCCGGCTCTCACTGTCCTCTGCCTTCCAGCCTGAGGTACCCGCCACCCACCCTGGCCAGGACTGGTAAGCAGGGCCCGGCCCTCCCGGGGCTGCTCACTAACTGCCCACTAACACGCGCTCAGCCCCCGCTCACCCCCACGCAGGGTCGGGGATGCCCACCACCGCCGCTCTCCTGCTCTGACCGCTCCCTTCTGCCCTCAGACTCCCCTGAGCCCGCCGGACCTCGCTCCCAGCTCTGAGGAGGCCAGAGCCAGCGCCGGGCCTGGGCCTGCTGCCTGGGGCTCTCGTGCACCCCCGCCCTCAGGAGTCCCCCCAATAAAGATCATTGTTCCAGCAATGCCGTGAGCGCTGCGCGGTCACCGCCCTCGGTGGGCGGACGGGCGGGCGGTGAGGCACGGGCACACGGCAGAGGTGGGCAGCACGTCGCGTTTATTGAGGGCCTGCCCCCGCGGAGCTCACAGCCTGGGGGCCGGTACCCCACATGTGCTGGGGGCGGGAGAAGGGTGAAGGCAATGCAGAGCCTGTGGCCCAAGCAAAGGGGGTGCAAAGCAGGCACAGGCAAAGGGGTGGGGTGGGGTGGGAGTATGGGGGCTGGCACGCCCTGCCCGAACCCAGGGGGTCGACCATGCACCCCACCAGGCCGGCGCCCCCTGGGGGTACCACCCTCCTCCTGCCCTGAGCCAGCTCCCCCAGCACCAGGCCACCCTCTCCACCCAGGCCGCCTCCACCGTGCAGACCCCGGGGGAGGGCAGGAAGCAGGGGTGGAGGGGGGCCTTTGAGGGGCAGTTTGAAAACGGGGGAGTCCTGGGCCCCTGGGCAAGTCCTCCAGAAACACCCCAAACCTATCGGAAGCCCCATGGGCCAGCTAAGAGGGGGGAAAGCCTGAAGGGAAGGAAGCGGAGCCCCACCAGCCAGGAAGGGTCCCCAAGAGGCCTCGCCTCCTCCAGACGGCTCCTGGTGGGGTGCGGAAGACAGAAGACGCCCCGCCCTGGGCAGGGGAGGGGGCAGCCAGACAGCAGCCAGGCGGGCAGCAGGGACACACACACACGGGTCACCTCCAGCGCCCCTTTAATAAAACGTGGGAGGGAGTGACGGGCGGGGGCGGGGGGTGTGGCCCTTGACAACCCCGGAGCCTCCGTGAGCGCCTGGGCCCTATTTGTAGAGGATGTCGTAGTGTCCCGGCCGGTAGAGAAGGTAGACCTTGGGCTCCGAGCCCTCGGGGAAGACGTGCGGGTTGGTGGTGCCGCCCTCGCCGCGGTCCATGTACTCCACCTGGATGGAGACCCGCAGGGCCTGTGCCAGCGCGATGATGTGGATGTGGTCGCTCTCCTTGCACATGGGCTCCACCTCCTGCGGCACAGGGCGGTCAGGGCCCGGGGAGGGGGCACCCACCCCCCACCCTGCCCTGCCCCGCCCCTGCCCACCCGGGCCCGGGGGCACCTGCTGGCAGAACTCCTTGACGGTCCGCCCGCCCTCGATGAAGTGCTCGAAGAACTTGCTCTCCCGCTGCAGGTAGCCCGAGGTGAGCAGCCGCAGGTAGACCACCAGGTAGTCGGAGGTGCTCTGGTCGTTGAAGGAGGCCAGCAGGTCGGCCACCGAGGTCTGCTTCTCCACCTGCTCGATCAGGTCCATGAACTGGCGCCGAGGGGAGGGGACAAAGGCCAGTAAGGAGGGGCGCCAGCCCGGCCCGCCCGCCCCTCCGGCCGGCCCGCGGCTCACCGTGTTGTGGAAGTCCTCGATCGTGAACTCGGTGAAGCCCTGCGACACCAGGTCCTCTTTGCTCTTGGCAGACACAGCCTTGAACCTGGGGGGGGGGGGGGGGCAGGCCCCGGGGGATCAGCGGCTGCACAGCAGGGCCCAGGGTCTGGCCTCGGGGAGCCCCTGCCGCCCCTGCGGTCCCCCGCCCCCTCACCGCTGCAATTCCTTGCTGTCATCCAGCAGCGCCTCCAGGTGGGAGAAGCCGAAAGCGCGGTAGAAGCAGTTCCCGTCGGGCCTGGTCTTGCGGATGTATGAGTACTTTTTGTGGAGGTCCTGCAGAGAGGCCCCCCCACGTCCGTCCCCATCAGGCCAGGGCCAGGTGGGCCGAGGGGGTCATCTTGGCAGGATGACGCTACCGTATCCAGGCAGCCAGCTGGCACCCTTGCCTGCTAACGCGGTTGGTGGAGCGACTGGGCAAGCCCCGCCCAGTGCCCCCAGAACACCACACTTGCCGCACTGGTTGTGGGCGCGATGCCAACTGTTTGCCCACGGACATGGAGCAGCAAGGGGCAGGACTGTGGCTCGGAGGAGGACCACATACGCGCGGCCTGCAGTGACCCCTAAGAATGACTAGGAGGGGCGGGTCCCCAGAAGGGGCGAATCAATCGGCTGGTCCTGGCCCAATACAACTTCTCCAGTGAAGCCTCCGGGAATGTTCTGGTGCCATGGGGAGGGTGCAGTCAGCACCCCACTCCCCAGCACAGCCGGGGTACAGCGCCACCCGACCCTGCCACGGGTCCCCGCTGTCGCCCGCCTTCCTCCCCTCCGCGGAGGGTAACCCACACCTTCCCCCTCACACCCCTGCCCACCTTCCCCTGATTGTGGCCTTTCCCTGAGACCCACTCGGCCTCCACACCACATCCACCCTGGCAGGACCTCAGTCTGGGTCCTCGTGTCCATCCATCTGCCTGTCCCCAGGGCTCCTGGGGGTCCCCTGCTCCTCTGCCACCATCCACTTTTTGCTCCTTACTGGTCCCGACCCACCAGCAGGTCAGCATGAGGCCTGCTGCCACTTTAAGACCAAGTCCTTCTCTGGTGCCACCCCAGTGGGCCTTCCATTGGGTCCAGGTCACCGAAACCTGGGTTGAAGGTCAAACCCTCCTCCCAGGTGGTTAGCGCCGCCACCCAGGGGGTGAGCGCCCCAACTTGAGGTGGGCAGTCCCCGTCATGGCAACAGCACCCCTCTCCCTTGCTGCCGGCACCTGGACTCCACACAGCCCCCATCCTGCCTCGGGACACCTCCTGGAGCAGAGCGACATGCCCCTCTGCAGTGCCCATAGACAGCAGATGCCCGCTGGGGCTGGGACGGCTTCTGTGGGCCATGTCCTGCATCTCGGGGTTCCAACGTGTCCACTCAGCTCTGCTGGCCCCCCGCTGCAGGGGCCCAGACCCCAGGCCAGCGTCCCCCACCCGACTCCTCAGCCCACCCAGACCCTCCTGAAGCCCCCAGTGACCGCCAGTCTTGGGGCCCATCCTGGGTGCTTCCGGCCACTCCCTGGCCCTTCCTGCGGGCAACTCAGTCCCCTGGTCCCGCCCTTGAGAGCGGTCGGGGCGGCTCTTGCCCTGGGGCCACAGTGGTGCCTGCTCGGACTCGCCCATCCCACGCTCGGCGCCGACAAGCCTCTGCAGCTGCCAGCCTGGCCGGGCGCTTGCCCGCCTCCCCCCTGAAGCCCACGGGCCCTGGCTGGTACGTTTCCCAGGGTGGAGTCAGCCAAACCCACTCGGGCGCCCCAGGGAGGGTGGGCCCCGGCAGAGTGGGGGCGTCCGGGGCCTGCCACAAAGCACGAGGGCTGCTCAGCTGAGCCCCAGCCAGTGCCCGGCCAGGCCACTTCGGCGGGTGGTGTGACCGCGTGTGCCAGGCGGCCTTGGCGTGGGCTCCCTGCCACTCCGCCTGCTTGCCTACTCGCTCTGGCCGTGTGCCAGGCACGGAGCTCGGCCCCCAGCCCAGTCGCCTGCCTCAAGCTGCACCTTCCTGCGCGAGAGACGGGACGGCAGTGGCTCCAAGCAGACTGCTCCGAGGGCAGGTTGAGCCCTGTCCAACCCCAGCACCTCTACGAGCGACCCCAAGCAGAGTCAGGAGTCAGCCCTGAGCACGGCAGCGTGTGCGCGCCCCCCCCCCCGCACCCCACCGCAAAGAACCCAAGTTTGGCGGACGTGTCGGCTGCCCCAGAGCCGGGGCCTTGGCTCACGGACAGACCCCAAATCTGGGGCAGGCTGGATCCCCACAGACGGCAGCGCTGGCCGACACGTGTGGCGCTTGACCTCTGCCCCGCGTGAGAAGTGCAAGTGCACTCAGGCTGGGTTTGGAAAAAAAAGATCCAGCAGCAAATGCAGGGCTGGCCCCTTCCCGGCACCCCCAGGACTTCCCAGGCTTCCAGTGACCAGCCGACATGCCACTGGCCACTGTCGCCCGGAAAGGCTGTGTCAGCTCAGCAGCCCGACCCTAGGACAGGAGCTCCAAAGGCCCCTCCTTTCCAGGGAGGGTTTCTGCACATCACACACTTGGGAGAAAGTCACATTTACTAGACCCCAGCGGAGCCCCCAGGCTGGGGAGGAAGGACCAGGCAAGGACTTCCCTGGGACTGAAAGGGGGCTGCAGGGCCTAGCAGGTGTCTGGGAACCCCCTCCCTGCTATATGCCCCAGTCCCATGCGCCCCGCCGGGGAACCAGACAACCCCCCCTCCCCCACTTCCCAGCCTGTCCCCCACTGGCAGAATCTTTGGGCTCTGACAAAGGGAAGGAGCTGCGGGCGCCTCCAGGGGTAGATTCCAGGGTCCGGGCTAAGAGCCACCAGAGGCATCCCCACTCCCTGTGGCCCAGCCCACCTTGATCTTCTGCTGGTAGATGTTGTCGTCCTCGGCGTACTCCTTGTACAGGACAGAGAGTTCCAGGCGCTCGGAGACCAGAGGGTTCTGCACAGCGATCTGTGGGCAGTGGGGGGTTGCGGGGGGGCACAATGGCATCAGGCTCCGCGCCAGGGCTGTGACCCGCCACCCTGCAGTGCACAGACCCCTGAAGGCATCCAGGACCCCCGCACAACTCGGAGAGGAGGGGGCTTCCAAAGTGGGGACAGAGCATGGGCCTCGGGCAACGCCCCTCACCTCTTGCTGAATTCGGTCCTGCTGGGCCATGATGGCTTCATCATAGGCAAGACAGTTAACGCCTGCAAGGAGGAAACAGGCAGTGTCGGGACGGCAGGCGTGCTCCGTGGGGGCCGCTGGGCCGGGAAGGGCCACCCAGGAGCAGAGCCTGAGCGGGGGACACCTGAGTCTGGGGACGCACGGGCCACACCTACTTTGCTACCCTGATGAAAGCGCCTCCTGGCCTTGCCTCATTTTTATTTTGTTTTTGCTTTTTGGGTCACACCCAGTGATGCACAGGGGTTACTCCTGGCTCTGCACTCAGGAATTACCCCTGGCGGTGCTCAGGGGACCATATAGGGTGCTGGGAATCGAACCCCGGTCAGCCGCATACAAGGCAAATGCCCTACCTGCTGTGCTATTGCTCCAACCCCTTGCCTCATTTTTAAAACGAGAGTGTGGGGGCCAGGGATGTGGTCCAAAGGGTAAACCATATACACGCCCAAGGCCCCAGGTTCGATTCTGGGCACTGCATCCCCCAAGCACCTCTGGCAGGCTCCCACAATCGTACACACAGGACCACGTGAGGGATAGCGAGGTCACCGCAGAGACCCCTTTCTTGCTGCCCTGCTTTTCGCCTCACTTCCCAGCAGCCTTGGGGGTGCTGGCGGGAGAGGGGCGGGTCTCTTGGGGGGTAGCTGAGGCCGGGTCCCGGGCTGCGGGGGGTATTTCCTGGCGGCCTGCACTTTCTCCATCCACTCGCAGGGCCGCCCAACCTACAGGCAGCACCGCGAAGGCTGGGCCCTGGGCTCAAGGTCACCAGGAGTGGGCAGCGGAGGTCACGGCCAGAGCCGGGAGCAGCCCACCACTGCTCCGCGGCCCCGCCACCTCCCAGCAGGGGGCGGTCCCCGGGAGAGGGGTGTGCCTGGGAGGCGAACTTCCAACTGCCCGGGATCCCAGCCCCGGGGCTCCGGTAAGCCCGAAGCCCGATCTCCTCCGCCTGGCGGGGCTGGGACTCGCCATCCTGGGTGGGGGGGCGGGGGGATGCGGTCAGAAGGGGCGTGCATGGCCCCAGGGCTTTCGGGGCCGGACCCTGGGGGTGCCGGGTCCGAGTCGCCGGCGGGAGAAGGGGCGGGGAGCGGAGCGGCCGGGCCCGGCCGGCGTCTCCGCAGACAATGGCCCGGCGGGCGCTCCGGGGCTGCAAGGCCAGAAGAGGGGGCTCGACCGGAAACGGGGCCGAGCGCCCCGGGCACGCTCCCGCGGCCCTTCGCCGCCGCCGCCGCCGCATCCCGAGCGGCCCGCCCGGGCCTTTGTGCTCCGCGGTCCGACCGAACTCGACGCCCCGGGGCCGGGCGCGGGCTGCGGCGGGGGCCGGGCCCGGGCCTCGGAGCCGGCGGGGTGCGCCGGGCCCCGGGAGCCCCGGCCGGGGCGGGGGGGGGGGGGGGGGGGCGGGGCGGCGTAGGCCCCGCCCCGGCGCGCGGGAGAGGGCCGGGCCCGCAGGTCCGGGTCCGCCCCGCTCGCCCGCCCGCCGGGGGTCGCGGCGGCGGCGGCGGCGGCGACTCCTTCCATTGTGAGGGGGAGGGGAGGCGGCGGCGGCGGCGGTCGGGGCAGGGGCCGCCCGCACGCTGCGCCCCCAGTCGCCGCCGGCTCTGCCCGGGCCTCCTCGTGGACGGGCGGCCCCGCGTCGCTCCCGCCGGCCGGGCCCGGGCGGCCCCGCCGCGGCCAGTACCTTCGGAGTCGCTGCCCAGCGGCTCCTGCTTCTGCTGCTGAGGTTCCTCCGCCGCCATCTTTAAACAGCGCCGCACTGCCGACCGCTTCCGGGTTACCCGCTGCCCTCCTCCCGGAAGCGCCGGGCTCGCGGCCCCGCCTTGGCAACGCCCCTAGCAACGGCGGCTCTTCCTCGCCGGCGCCGCCTCCCCGCCACCCGCGCCAGCGCGCGCTGCCGGGCTCGGGCCGCGTCTCCCCGAGCTCCCGCCGGCGATCAGGGAGACCCCCCACCCCCACCCCCGCGTCCGGGAGCCGCGTCTGAACCGCTGACGGCGGCTGAAATTGAAACCCGGGCGGCTGAGGTTGCCTGCGGCGCCTGCGCCGAGCGTGGTGTCACTCGCGTCCGCCCCTGGAGCCTCGGGACGCAGCGGCGCTCCCCGCTGTCGGCTCCCTGCGCGGGACCCAAGGCCGGAAGAACTGGGTCACTCCCGAAGCCGGGATTCGGCCCAAATGGGAAGTGGATGAGTGGTCGCCAGGTTCAGGGAGCAGGTCCGGGCGAGGGGAAGCAGTTGTGCATGCAACGCGGAATCGTCCCCCCCACGGCCCCGCTGCCTGCTTGCTTGGGGTGCTTTTAGTTTGGGGCTTTGTTTGTCCCTCCCAGCTTGTTCTCTGTGCTCTTCCCTGTTGTCATAAGGAACAAATGTTACCGACGGGGAAACTTGGTGAAGAGTAAACGGCATGTTCTACGGCCAAAGAAAAAGTGTATTTGAAAAGCTGCAGGTAGGAACAAAACAAGAAAAGCAGCAAGGCTGAATCCAGAGAAACAGGATTCTGGGAAAGGCACTCGCCTTGCAGGCAGCCACCCCTTTTCAATGCTTAGTTCAGTGTATGGTTCCCCCGAGCGCCGCCGACAGGTGTAGCCCCAAAATAAACGGAATAAAAATGAAAAGCAGCAAGGCCTTGGGTGCTTGAAGGTGCTATTCAGCAGGGGTGCCGCCCGAGCTCTGGTTCCACATTTTCACAGCCTGACTTCAGCGGCTTCTCTGCACCGGGAAGGGTTACCCCACTGGAGCCCAGGGAGGAAGAATGAGCTATTTGCCTGGAGTGGGTGAAGGGTGCCGCCGGCCCGGCTCACCACCCAGCACTGACTGGCTTTGCTGGGTCCCAGCAACATTGCAAAAGGCTTTTCACTGGGTCCCTGGTCCCCTGCAGTGGCTTCCAAACTCAGGGAACTCGGGGGCCACTGAGCTCAGAGGTGCTGCTCATCCACTCTTCGTTCCTTCCCCAGCTGTAAGTGGGGTCTGTTCACTGTCCTGCAGGCCCTTGGTGGGTGGGAAGAACCTATATCTGCCAATGACGAGTTGAGGTTAAACACGGTCTCTTTGGCCTTTTGAAATCTTTAATGCAAGGGTGGAGAGATAGTACAGCAGGTAGGGCGCTTGCTCTGCACGTGGCCAACCCCAGTAAGATCCCTGACACCCTATGTGGTACCCGGAGCCCACCAGGAGCGATCTCCAGGATGCAGAACCAGGAGTCTGCTGAGTTCCATCCCTGAGCACTGCCAAGTGTAACTACCAGGCCGAGGATCACCGGGAATACCCTCGGGCTCCTTAGGATTGTTGGGGAGACCCCCCCCACTCCACCAAGAAAAAGAAAAAGCTTTACACAACTTTTTCCCTTCCCTCACTTCCGCTCCGAAGACTAGGAGTGGCAACACCCAGGGCGGAGAGCTGAGCTGAAGGGTAGGGCTAGATGGTAGCAGCCTCGTAAGGCGTTGAAGCGCACTCCTGTGGGTCGACGCTGGGCAGCTGCCTCTGGGCACAGGGGGTCTGGGGCCTGGCATGAGGGCCACCCCACCCTCCTCCTGGCACCCCTCTCAGCAGCAGAGTGGGAAGGAAATGGCCTTTGGGGAACTTGGACCTTTCATCCAGTCCCAGGATCCAATTTTGTCCCATCGACTTGGTGGTTCTTGCCCCCTTCCAGCCCTCCTGTCCTGTGTCCTCTGAGGGGTCTGATCTCTCTTCAGATGGTTCTGTGAAGCCAGGGGTCCATCCTGACAGAACGTCACCACAGGAGGCTAGAAGCTGCACTGGCCCAGCTGGGCTTGGAGTCTGGAGCCTCCAGGAACGCAGGCTGGAGGGGGTGATTCTGGCCTGGTCCTGGTCCCCAGAGACAAAACAAGAGGGGAGGGGCCCAGGCGCAAAGGGAAGGCCCTCCGAGGCCGCCTGTTTACCTCCAGTCTGTCTGGGGTGCCTGCCCGGGGCCTCGGAGCCATACGGCGCCAGCCTGGCACCGCCAGATGCCACCGACCCAGCAACTTCCACCACACAGGTGCCGAGTTTAACAGATCTGAGGTCAGAAGTGGGCAGGCCTGGGTTTGAGTGAACCAAAGTCCAGGTGTCTGCAGGTGGGGCTCCCTCCCGGGGCTGAGCAACCCCGGGGGAGTGGCAGGACGCTGGTCCCCCTGCTGTAGGCTGTGAGAGGGGGCCCCCGCTGCTGTCCACCCATCCCGATGCGCGCACAGCTGTCTGCTGCATCCACCGCTGGACACTCGGGGCTTGAGCCCGAGAAACAGTACAGGAGTAAGGTGCTTGCCTTGAACACCAGACCCAGCTTAGACCCCCCAACCCTCCACAGGGTCCCCCGAGCCCTGCCAGGCGTGGCTCCTGAGCACAGAGCCAGAGTGATCCTGGAGCGTGACTGGGTGTAGTCAGGGTTGCACTGGGCCTGGACCGTCGCCTATTCTAAGGTGGCATGTTCCGGGCTCCAGGGGACAGGAAGCTGGCAGTGGGGGGCTCTGCTGCCAGTCACCTTCATTTCACACCCGTGAAAACGGAGGCTGAGAGAGGCTGGATGATGGGGTATGAGGTCAGGTGATGGCTGTGGAGGAGCCCAGCCCGGACTCCAGCCCGGATTCCCGACCCTCCAGTACCCAGCACGCAGGGACAGCCCCTGTAGGCCCAGCACCTGGCCCGGGACAGCGACGCAGAAAGCACTGCTCAGGGGACAATACAGGACAGCCCTGGGCCCCAGAGCTGGTGTCGAGATGTACGAGGAGTAGACAGAGGCCTCAGGCCTCACGAAAGACCAAGGGGCGGGTGGGGTTCAAGCACCGCATGCAGGTCTCCTGGACTCCCCCCATGCACCCCAAACCACATGCTGGAACCCCACAGGTGTGGGGAGCAGGAGCAGAGGGGCAACAGGCCTGCTCCCACCAGCTCCCCCATCTAAACAGCTGAAGAGGGGAGCTCAAGACAGGACTTGAGGGTTCAGGGACACAGCAACAGGACATCTCTCCGGGTTCAGAGGCAGCCACCCGAGTCAAGCTCTGGGGAGATGACCAAACTGAGGTCATCTGAGGTCACTGAGGCCCCAGCACCCCCAAAGCAGGAGCCGAACACGGGGCAGAGGCAGAGCAGCAGTGACAGGGAAGGACAGACAGTAAGGCCACGTGACCCAGGCATGTTGGAGAGTGGTGAGATGCCCCCCACACCCCAGCCTGCGACCCCCTGCACGTTGTCCACACCAAGGGTGCCTTTGTGGAGACAAGTCCCAAGAGACTGCCTGCAGGGCGACAGCAAGCGGGCACTGGGCCAGGGGCACTGCCCACCACCACTGAGAAGGCCTGGGAGCAAAAGACAAAGGTCAGCTGCTGCCCAGAGTCCCCTCTCACCGGGCACCCCGGCCCACTCACCCCAGATCCCAGCTTCCTGTGCTCAGAAATCACCCATGTCACCCGGAGTGCCGAGGAGGGCAGAGTCCGCCTGTCCCGCGTGCGTGCCGGCCAAGCCAGCAGCTCGGGTGTTCTCCATGCAACCCCCAGCCAGACCCAGGCAAGGGCACGAGATGGACAAGCAGCGGGCAAGGGGGCAGGGAACAGGCCACTGACAGGGGCAGGGTCTGGGCAAAGGCACTGGACAAGCTACAATGCAGGGAGGGCACTTGCCTTGCATGCGGCCGACCCAGGCTTGATCCCTGGGGTCCCATATGGTCCCCCAAGCCCCGCCAAGAGTGATCCCTGCGTGCAGAGCCAGGAGTAACCCGTAAGTACTGCCGGATGTGGCGCAAACCCCCCCCCCCAAAAAAAGGTTGCACTCAGCACCCCACAAGACAGCAACACACAGCACAGGGGTCACCCCGGGGACAAACTTCCAGCTAGTAAGAGGGCAGGTCTCCCCGGCAAGGCCACAAAATGCAGGGGCCCAGGACAGCAAGCAAAGAAACCCCACTCCTGGGCGGGCGATGGAGGACACGGGACCACTGAGCAGGAGCGGTGGAGGCCTCACCCGGCTCCCACCCCAGCACCCCCAGGCGGAGAGCCAGCCTCCTCCTCCGAGAAGCCAGGTGGAAACAGACTTTATTGTTACAACAGGGGCCCTACCGCGCAGGGCCTTAGAAATCCAGCTGTGCGGCCCCGGGGTCGCCACGGCGAAATCGAGAGCTCAGGACGGCCGCGGAGGTCACAGCGACTGAGGACATGATTCGGGGAGGCCGGCCAAGACTGCAGCGAGACATGATCGGGGAGGCCGGCGCGGGCGGGTCCGGGCGGGGCGGGGGTCCCCTTCACTCCCGCTTCTTGTAGCTCTCCAGGTTGGCCAGGACCCAGCCGGGCGGCACGAGGAAGCACAGGAAGCAGGCGGTGAGCCCCACGACGACATCCTGCACGGCACGGAGAGAAGGAGGGACCCCGCGGTGAGGCTCCCGGGCCCGCACGGGAAGGGCCGGGTCGCCCGAGTGGCCCAGGACCGCTCCGGAAGCATCCGCGGGCGGATGACCGAGTCCGATCCCCGGCACCGCCCGTGGTCCCCCAGGCAGAGCCGAGAGTCAGCCCTGCGCGACCCCCCAGCCGTCCCCTCAAAAACAGCCCCCGCTGAACCCAGTCCCCACGGCCGTCCCCCTTTGCGGTGGCTGGAGATGGGGGGGAGTCCCCACTTCCCTAACGACATGCCCATGACACGGGCAGCCCCGGCCAGGCTCACTGGTCCCCCGATTCCCTCTGGGCCACACGGCCCCCAAGTTCCACCCGGGGGGGACGTCCGTGCCCCTTGCGTGCGGGAGGCCGGCGGCGTTCCGCCCGCGCAGTGTCCCCGCCGCGTCCCCGCGCGTTGCAAGGACCCTTCCCGCGCGCCCGCCCCGACCC